TCATTTTCTCAAAGTTTGATGACATATTTGAGTCTTTTCCCATGATTATAATGTCTTATACGGATTATCACACAGAGAATATTGTTCAACTTTAGTATAAAAAAAGGAAGATAATTCATATAATCATATTCATAATAAATATAAAAAAATAATAGTTATTGGCAAACTTCATTAGTTCGCGCAAAAAAAATTACTAATTCGCGCAAAAAAAGATGTATGGAATTACGAATTACTTATCATGTCTTAAGACACATATTTGATTCCCGCAAAGACACGTTTTAACCATTTTGCTTCAATTAGAGATGGTTTATTCAATACACAATTCTTCTCTTCACGATCTAGCGGTATTCAAATATCTAATTAAACTAAAAAGGTTTACACAAAACAATAGATCTAGTTTAGATTTTTAAGTTTAGATAAGTTATCAAATGGTCATTTAGAATTAAGATATCAAATCATTATTCGAGTTTCTTATTGTTTTTTTCTTTCATTCTTTGGTGTAAAGAAAATATTTAAAACTATTTTTTTTTTGCAGCTATATTGTAATTTAGTTTTTGTATTTGTAAAAATAAAAAAAATGGGGATATATAATAAATTTTACAAGAAAATTAGTGAAATAAATAAATTTGACCATCAAAATAATAAATTTAAATAAGTCGTCGAAATAAAAAAGTCAAAAAAAAAATATACCTCATATATGGATTATATTTTTTCAAAAAAATTAAATTAAAAAAAAATTGTTTGGTAGGCGTAGGTCTAAATATCAGTCAATATTAGGAAATTGTGCTACTTCACTGCCTGCTTTGCTTCTGCTGCTGCTGCCTATCTTCACAGAAAAATCACTTTCTGCTTTGCTCTTCTTCTTCACTTGACAGAAAAACATCCGCAGCGATGTTTCCGTTTGTTTCTTTTCGGGATTGGATTCATCAGGCGATTCACATAATTCTTCTCATGGTATGATTTCGTCTTCACTCCAACTTGTACAACAACTGATTCCGAAATTCCAAATGAAATCATAACAGACATACTCTTAAGGCTGCCCCCCAAATCTCTCTTGAAATGTATGTCTGTTTCTAAATCATGGCATCAACTCATATCCAGCCCTGATTTCGTGAATACACATCTCAAATTAAACTCAATTCATAGAGTTCTGTTTCCAGGCATCAATGGAAATTTCAACTTTAGTTCTCTCCTCCCTTCCACTGTTCAAATGGGTTCCATCGCTTTAATATCTTCCGTTGTGGGTACTGCCAATGGGCTAATTTGTCTGTACAATTACAAAGGGGAGATATATATATATATGGAACCCCACCATTAGCAAGTCAAAGAAACTACTTAATTTGCCGTGGGGTTCCTCTTTCTATATGAAATATGGTTTTGGATATGATGAATCACGTGATGATTACAAAGCTCTGTTTATTGATGATGAATCCGACCTGAGTTATGTGGTCAACATTTATAGTTTGAGGACGGATTCTTGGAAAACACTCCATGACCAGCTTAAGGGCGTCTTTCTAATAAATCTTCCGGCTAAATTTGTCAACGGGAAGCTTTATTGGACTGCATCTACGAGTTTTTGTGATATCAATGTGCGCAAGATCATTTCGTTTGATGTAGCAGCCGAGACATGGGGTAGCTTGGAGCTTCCCATTTGTGGAGAAGACAATTCAAATTTCAAATTGGGAGCTGTTGGAAGTGACCTTTCTCTGATTTACACTGCTAATTTAGTTGCTACTTCTTCAGATGTCTGGATTTTGAAGAATAGCGGCTTACATGTGTCTTGGACGAAACGGTTCACCATCGAATATCCTCAAAATGTTGGGATATATATGGGTTCTCCAACCACTTACCCATTCTCTACACATCTTCGCCACTCAACCAAGGGCGACATTTTACTTTCCCTTCCCGGAGTTATACTGATATTTTGGGGGTTCAACAAGAAAGCTAGAGCACACTGTTGATGTTGTGGGATGCGATCCAGTAGAATTCTATGCAGAAAGCATTGTCAATCTCTTTTTCTGGTAAGAATTCTGCTTAGTTTAGCTTGTATGCTCTTTTTGCACTTTTTTTTCCCGTCAAATATAGGACTATGCATTGAGTATGTTTTTTTCTCCTGATAATGAGACACAACATTGAATTTATTTGCTTGTATAGCTCTAGTTCCTGTAAGCATTTGTCCTTTTTACTTTACTAGTTTCTGGACACGTGCATTGCACTTTGTCCTCTATCGTCAATTATAATAATGTTTGTATTTTGAAATAAGTTAATGTGGTCTACTACACCTTTCACCAATTTTGTGTGAGTGTCTGTATATAGCATCCTTAATAATAGAGGATGTATCAAATAATAGAGAAAGTATAAGGTAGTATTCACAATTTCATTGATAGTTTGGCTTAAAACTATGTCTCAGTGATGTACAAATAATATTCGCAACTTAGAGCCTGTTTGAATTGGTTTATTTTAGGTGCTTTTAAGCACTTAGGTAGTGTTTGGGTAGGATTATGCACTTGTTTTACTCTGCTCGACAAGGATTAGATCTCCCATAGTTTTAGTAATTTCCTATCTTGAAGTATGAAAAGTTCTGTTTTTATTTTCTTTTTCTGTTCTGGAGGAGTTGTATTCTTTTCTGTAGACAGTTGGTCTAATTTGGTATTAACAGTGTTGAGTTAGAGTTTCAATATAGTGTTTCTTACAGTTTCATCGCTGACATCCTTTTACATTGAGAAATGATGATTCACTCGCATTTATGTTGTTGATATTGCTTATACTAGGTGACTATTTTTGTAGTACTACACACTTTTTTTTACGAAAATTTTAAGAGATGCAACCTTAACTTGTTTTGGACTATTGAATTTCAGGAAGTGGAAACTGATTCCGTACTTGCTGCTGAGTGCATGGATCAAAATGATGAAGCCTTGTCATGATCTGTTCTCTTCCTCCATCTTGTCTGCTGCATTTAGTATCAGAATTGTAGTTGTATCTTGTATAATGAGGATTTACATAACTTGATTCCGCCTTGTACACCGAGAATGTTAGAGGAAACCTTGTGGATGGTTCCCCTGCTTTTCAGGGTGAAAGATTATTATTAGTCGTTCTAGTAAACTTAGCAATTATGAAAATGCTCCACATCTAATTATTGATCTACAACTGCTTCTACTACTGTTGATATTCATGAAAGCTGGCTGTTTTCATGAAGGGAAAACCAACTATGGAAGAGTTAAGAAAGCTATTTATTAGCCAATTTCAGCTATTGGGATCGGTTAAAATAGCTTAATTGATTATAAAACTCTATCTGTACATTGATTTCTCTGATGAATAACATATGGTAATATCATTAAAAGCTTCAATAAGACCTCTTTTTTTGGTCGGACATAAAGGTGCAACCAGCCTCATTGTCCATGTCTCGCTGCTTTCTTATTCAACTCTATAGCTAATATTGGATTATGTCCAGTAATCTTTGGATTGTATTGAGAATACTCTATAGCTCTCAATTTCAGAATCATCACTATTATACTCCATAACTAACATTATCGATAGTCTAGGAGTGATATAGTAAATGATTTGTTAGGAGTCGACAAATAAATATGCACAGAGAGAGTAGTAATTTAATGGTAAAATAGAGATGAAGATCCAATTGAACTAATAAAAAATATATAATTGAAAGTAATTAACTACCACCCCTTTTAACACCTATTTAGGGGCGGAATCCTATATAAAGCAAACTAAATGACCTGACTAAAAAAAGAGAAAAAAAAGTTGCATTATCCTATTCTCTTGCTTGATGATGACTACAATAGTTCCTCACTTTGCCTAGGAAAAATGGTACCCTCTTGGAGTGTGTGAACTCTCTGTAAAAGCAATCATCTGAAATTGTTGAAAGTACTTGACAACATCGTGTGGATAATGAAATTCTGCGCTTGAAAATGGAAGTGATCAAATTGAATGCACAACCGTTCACCTTGATGCAAGAAGTGGTTGGAGCCATGGCCGGGCCCCAAGAGGGAGCCATGTGCGATGGAGAAACGACATCATCAACAGGGGATGGGGATGGAGATGGAGAAACGACATCATCAACTGGGGATGGGGATGGAGCTGCATGAGTTGGTGAAGCCGAATTATCAACCAGAGATAGAGATGGAGATGGAGATGCATGAGTTGGTAAAGCCGCATTATCAACGGCATGACTGCAATAGTTTCTCACTTTGCCTAGGAAAATTGGTACCCTCTTTGAGTGCGTATACCCTCTGTAAAAGCAATCATCTGAAATTGTTGAAAGTCCTTGGCAGCATTGAGTGGATAGTGAAATTCTACGCTTGAAAACGGAAGTGATCAAATCTAATGCACAACCATCCACCTTGATGCAAGAAGTGGTTGGAGCGGTGTGCGGTGGCGAAACCACATCATCAACTGGAGATTGAGCCATATGTGTTGGTGAAGCCACATTATAAATCGGAGATGGAGATGGAGTTGGAGTTGGTGGTGATGGTAATTTTGGGTGAGTACGCCACCACCATCGAGGCCACAATCGAATTGAAGAAGTACCAAACGATTCGGTTTGGTTCGTTGCAGTGGCAGTAGCAATGCCTATGCAACCCAACAACAGAAACACACATAATAATGTGCCACTTCTCGATGACGACGACATGTTTCAAAAGAAAGAATGAATAATTAGCTGAGATTAGAGGAAAAGAATTTCAAGCGGTACTTCCAAATCCTTTAAAGTTGTATGAATAATTAATATGAGTTGATATAAATAGGCAAATAATTTAGGCGATACTTCCCAATCCCTTTATACTTAGAATATCAACTTCTATCCAAATTAGGATTTCTATATATGTTGTCGCGTCCACTTTTAATAAATTTATAATTCAAATTAGGATTTCTATTAATAATAAATTTATAATTCAAAACTGTGTTGCAATCAAACTACAACTCCTTGTACTCAATCAACACAAACGCCAAAAACATACACTTAGGGCACAAACAGAGATCCTTCTGCTATGGCAAGTGATTCCATAATCCCTCTTCTTCTTCTTCCTGATGAACTCATAACAGAGATCCTCTTAAAGCTTCCTGTCAAATCTCTGTCGAAATTCATGTGCGTTTCTAAATCATGGCTTCAACTAATCTCTAGCCCTACTTTTGTGAAGAACCATATCAAGTTAACTGCTGATGACAAAGGATGCATCCATCACAGACTTATATTTCGAAACATCGATGGAAATTTCAAGTTTTGTTCTCTCCCTCCCTTGTTTACCAAACAACAACACACTGAGGAGCTATTCCACATCGAAAGATCCACTTTATCAACTCACATTGTGGGCTCTTTAAATAGGTTGATTTGTGTTGTCCATGGCCAAAAAGAGGCATATATATGGAACCCCACTATTACCAAGTCAAAGGAATTACCCAAGTTTACGAGTAATATGTGCTCTGGTTCTATCTAATATGGTTTCGGATATGATGAGTCACGTGATGATTATAAAGTTGTATTTATCCATTATCCTTATAATCATTCTAGTAGTTCCAATATGACGACTGTGGTCAACATATATACTTTGAGGACTGATTCTTGGACAACACTCCATGATCAGCTTCAGGGCATCTTTCTAGTAAGTCATTAAGGTAGATTTGTCAATGGGAAGCTTTATTGGACTTCATCAACTTGTATTAATAAGTACAAGGTGTGCAACATCACTTCTTTTGATTTAGCAGACGGGACATGGGGAAGCTTGGAGCTTCCCATTTGTGGAAAAGACAATTTTGATATCAATTTGGGTGTTGTGGGAAGTGATCTTTCTCTGCTTTATACTTGTCAACGAGGTGCTGCTACCTCTGATGTATGGATTATGAAGCATTCTGGAGTTAATGTATCTTGGACAAAATTGTTCACCATCAAATATCCTCAAAATATTAAGACACATAGGTGTTTTGCACCTGTTTTCACATTCTCTATACATTTTCGCCACGGTGAAATTTTGCTTCTTCTTCGCTCAGCCATCATGATATATGATGGTTCAACAAGACAACTAAAGCACACTTTTCATGTCAATCAATGTGAAGAAATCTATGTAGAAAGCCTTGTTAATCCCCTAACGATATCTGACCAGGGACGTCATAACCAGGAATCTCCACAATCATAACATAGCTGATAATTTGTAAGGATTGTGCTTAGTTTAGCTTGTTATGCTCTTTTTGCACCTTTTTTTGCTGCCAAATATAGGACAAGACATTGAATATATTTTTTTCCTGATATCAGAACTTAATTACCGTCTCATAAAAGACTTCCTTTTCCTAAATAAGGGTAGGACCGGTGAGAGGCTTCAATCATATTTTCTTGATTATAAGTAGATGGAAAAGAAAAGAACAATCAAATTGTTGAGTAATACATGCAATAATCAGTATGTCTGAAGTTTCAACATAGTGCTGGTTAGACGTCAATTAAGGAGTTTAGCTAATGAGAGATGTTTGATTAAAACAACCTTTTACATCGAGAAATGATGATTCGCTCACGTCTATGTTGTTGCTTTTGTTTAAACTAGATGGCTGTTTTGTTACTATATAAACAGAGTCATTCTGAAAATTTTGTCAAGCACAACCTTAACTATTTGGTTTGTACTATTGAATTTCAGGAAATGGAAGCTAATGTTGAACACTAATCAATAGTTGCTGCTGAGTTCATGGATCGAAATGATGAAGCCTTGTCATGATCTGTTTTCTTTCGTATTAGACTTGTAGTTCTATCTCGTTATCAGATTTACAATCATTTGCTATAAACTAGAATCCTGATAACAATTGTGTTAAAAACTTGGTTTGGTATAAACCTTTTTTTCGTCTAATTAGATAGTTGAATGTCTCTAGAATGTGAAGAGAACCCGATATTGTTGAGTATTGAAATGAAACAGGTCCAAATGAAGGAAATGGATATATAGAGGATTCACATAAACTTGATTCCAACTAGTACACAAAGAATGTTAAAGGAAACCTTGTGGATTGTTCCCCTGCTTTTCAGGGTGAAAGAGTATTATTGTATTACAGAAAATATAATCAGATTCATTTGTATGTTCAGGAACTGGGAACAAGCTAATGAAGATGAGGACGAAATTTTATATCCATTTTCTCCGTACCTTGTTACTAGTCGAATAAGGATGAAATTTTACTTTTACTTCCCCCCCTTATCATGACATATAACGGTTCAACCAGACAAGTAGAGGTTGCTGATCAATTTGAGGAATGTGCTGCTGCAGAAATCTATGTTGAAAGCCTTGTTGATCCCCTATTCATATCATGAAACCTCAACAATCATTTAGCCGATAACTTGTAAGAGTTCTTTATTTAGTTTCTTCCGTCAGCTAGGTCAGATTAGAGCAAGAATTTTTGAGATTATATTCCCCATATTTGGGGACAGGGAGCAGAATCCTCAAGCGAGAAACATTCAATATCTCAGATTAGATGAAAAACCATTGTATCAAACACTGGATCTAACGTAAGTACATCAATAATTAGCATTTTGACTCTAATAGCAGACACCACAGTTGGATCAGTAATTCTGCGTAAACTCAATCTGGCCGAGTTAATCGTCTAATTCTACTTTACCAGAATGATGCAGGAAGATGACTTGCTATACTAATATATTGGATTATGCCGAAAAGGTACTATAACAAGTAACTGATAAAAATTCTCTACTTAAGGTGAAATAAAAAAGGATTATGAATCTAGACTGATTTGAGGAGACAATTCAAAGTAAATTATTTCTAGGATAGATAGTGTAAGATTCGATACAGAGGCAAGAACTGATGTAATGCTTGTCCGCCATCTTTATAAAGATCGATTCATTGGTATAGTCTAAGCTGCCAGTCTGCCACAGATGAATGCTTGTCCTAATAATCAAATACAACATTGCAGCCAGAATAAATAAATTTGATGCTCAGAACCTGTTGGAATGTATGCGCCCACCAGTGATCTCGGGACCAGGTCCCTCGACAGAATAACAACGCAGAAGTAAAAGTGCGGAAAATAAATAGCACAAAGTAAATCAGGCACAAGAGTTTTACGTGGAAACCTCTTTGCTCAAGGGAGTAAAACCACGACCTGTCTCACAGGACTTTTCAAACTGCTTTTACTAATCTTCTCAAAGCAAAAGTAAAAACAAGTTTACAACCACACATAGAGATTAACCTCCTAATCTCTAAACTAAGTAATACAACCTATTACTTAATGAGCCTAAGCAGATACAACACTGCCCACTATACTAACCCTCATTGATTAATATAGAATTTTCTAAACGGATACCACACCGCCCACTAAACCACCTAACTCTAGATGATTTAGAATTTGACTAAGCAACACATAGGTTGCCCACTAAACCACCACCCTCTGGACGATTTAGAAAACCACCTAACTCTAGATGATTTAGAATTTGACTAAGCAACACATAGGTTGCCCACTAAACCACCACCCTCTAGACGATTTAGACTTTTAGAAATCGAAACAAGATCCGAATCCTTTATAGATTAGGAACAGATTTACAATGTAAGCACGGAAGTATAACTCCTAAGACACACTATGACGCTTGCAACTCGATTAGGTCCTTGTTGCACTTGTTGGAGAGTACTTCACCAAGATGGTCTTTGCTTGTATACTTGAGAATTTTCAAGATGCAAAGACTGACAAAACTCAAACTCAACAAAGACGCTTCAACACTCTATCAGGTCCCTTTGTTGAGCATGAGTATTGTCACGTCTACTTCCCAATCCCTTTATACTTCAAATATCTACTTCTATCCAAATTAGGATTTCTATATATGTCACGTCCATTCGTCCAATTTTAATAAAAAATTATAGTTCAAGACTGTGTTGCAATCAAACTATGACTCCTTCACCTCAATCAAGACAACCGCCATAAACAATTTTTTTTTTAAAATAACAACAATGAATATATTTAGACAATTACCCTTCAAAAATTAAGTGACCTTGAAGCCCTATATTTGAAAATTGGTTTACCAAATGAAGATGACTGCGAATTACAATAAACTAAGGAACTGAACATTGAGAGGAAGAAAAAATATACTATAAAAAATCACATTTCACCTAGCATTTGTCTTGAAGTACAAAGACTTCTATATCATTATAATAATTATTTATGATATAAAATCCAGAAAACAATTAGAAAAAATGTGAAAGATGTTATCACAGACCATTTCCCTCCAAAAACATTGATCTCTTCGCCATGTAGCTTGGGGATCTCAGCCATGTCTAATAGGATATCATAAAGATAAGATCCATCAGCCGTTTCCCTTTCGCTATAAGTTTCTATTTTTGTTTCTTGACCTTACAACACCATAAATCTAGCAAACCTTACCCCTACCCTACCTCGACTAACAAAAAATACACACAAAAGCTGCACCATAAGACTTATGGCTGAATCGACAATCTCTGTTCTTCCTCATGAAATCATCATAGAGATCCTCTTAAAGGTTCCCCCAAAGTCTCTGTTGAAGTTCATGTGTGTTTCAAAATCATGGCTTGAACTAATCTCCAGCACAAAGTTTATAAAAAACCATTTGAAATTAACAGCTAACGACAAAGAATACAGTCACCACGGGATTATTTTTCAAGAATTCGCATGCAATTTTAAGGTATGTTGTCTCCCTTCCATGCTTAACAAAGAACGAAACACCGACCTATTTGACATTGGTTCTCCCATGGATTGTCGGTTCTGTCAATGGATTGATTTGTCTGTATAGTAAGATAGAGGAGACAGTTCTATGGAACCCCGCTATAAAGAAGTCTAAGAAATTGCCTACACTTGGAGCTAAATTGAGGAACGGTTGCTCTTACCATCTCAAACACGTGATGATTACAAAGTGGTAGTTATTCAATGTATTGTGTGATACTGTAGTCAACATATACAGTTTGAAGGCTAATTCTTGGAGAACAATTAATAAGTTTCAGGGAATTTTTCTAGTAAATTCTCCGGGTAAATTTGTCGATGGAAAGCTTTATTGGGCTTTATCAGCTGATGTTGATACGTTCAATATGTGCAACATCATTTCTCTTGATTTAGCAGACAAGACGTGGAGAAGGTTGGAGATTCCGAATAGTTATGGAAAAGGTAGTTATCCGTTGGCATTAGGAGTGGTGGGAAGTCATCTTTCTGTGCTTTGTCTTAATTGTCTTGAAGGAACTAATTCCGATGTGTGGATTAGGAAGGATTGTGGAGTTGAAGTATCATGGACAAAAGATTTTCACTGTCGATCATCCTAAAAGACCTTGGGGAGTTTATATTCTTTACATCCATTTTCTCTATACCTTGTTATCAGTCGAATATGGATGAGATTTTACTTTTACTTCCCCCGTTATCATGACATATAACGGTTCAACCAGACAAGTAGAGGTTGCTGATCAATTTGAGGAATGTGCTGCTGTAGAAATCTATGTAGAAAGCCTTGTTGATCCCCTATTGATATCATGAAACCTCACAATCATAATCATTTGACAATTATGTTGAAAACTTGCAAACTCACGTTTGGAGAGACTAGATATTTTATAAATACAAGCATTGTGTTTATGTTGGTATTGCTAGTGTATGAATCATCAATTTCTTCATTTAGACCTGTTTGACTCAATGTACAATTATTCTCTTCACGATCTAGCGATAATGCGATACTTAAAATTTAATTAACAGGTCTAAAACTACCTCCTCTGTTCTGCTCTACTACCAATTTTTGTGATTGTTACCTCATATGACAAACATGTTTTTGTTTGTTTCTTTTTATAGATTGGATTGAGATTGTTCTACTCAAATTCCTCTCATGGTATGATTTCTTCTTCATTCCAACTTCTACAACTACTGATTCCATAATCCCAAATGAAATCATAACAGATATCCTCTTAAGGCTTCCCCCCTAAGTCTCTCTTGAAATGTATGTCCGTTTCAAAATCATGGCATCAACTTATATCTAGCCCTGATTTTGTGAATACACATCTCATATCAAACACACATCATAGAGTTCTATTCCCAGGCATCAATGGGAATTTCAACTTTAGTTCTCTCCTCCCACAACAAGTCACTGTTCACATATATCCTCTCACTTTATCAGCTTTCGTTGTGGGCTTTGCCAGTGGGATAATTTGTCTTTGAGATCACCAAGGGGATATATAAATATATATGGTTTTGGAAATGATGACTCACGTGATGATTACAAAGCTCTGTTTAATGATTATTGTGCTGATGAGTTCGACCTTTTTTTCTGACTTGAGTAATGAGATCAACATTTATAGTTTGAGGACGGATTCTTGGAAAACACTCCATGACCAGCTTTATGGCATCTTTCTAATAAATTTTCAGGGTAAACATGTCAATGAGAAGCTTCATTGGATTGCATCAACTAGTTATTAGTAATTTCAATGTGCGCAAGATCATTTCTTTTGATGTAGCAGACGAGGGATGGGGTAGCTTGAAGCTCCCATTTGTGGAGAAGTCAGTTCTAATTTAAAAATGGGAGAGGTGGGAAGTGATCTTTCTCTGATTTATACTTTTCGTCTAGGTGATACTACTTTTGATGTCTGGATTTTGAAAAAGATTGTGGATTTTGGACAATCCTCAAAATCCAAACATTAGAAGTAGTATCACCTAGACTACAAGTATTAAACATAGA